TAGTAGTAGTAGTAGTAGTAGTAGTAGTAGTAGTAGTAGTAGTAATATGAGTCAGGATGGAGACTAGTTGGAGAGTCTTGAGGGGAATTGGAAGGACATAGCAGAGAGTGGATATGATCAAAATACATTGTACAGTGCTGGAGAGATGGCTCAGCGGTTAAGAACACTGACTTTTCTTGCAGAAGACCCAGGTTCAAATCCTGGCACCCACATGGCAGCTAACAACTGTCTGTAACTCCAGTCCCAGGGGATCTGACAGCCTCTTCTGACCTCTGCAAGCATTGCACAACATGGGTGCACTTACCTACATGCAGGCAATACATGCATACACATAAAATAAAAATAATAAAATATTAAAAAATACATTTTACACATGTATGAAATTCTCAAACAATATATTTTTCCATTTGATTATTTTCCAACTTATATTCAATCTTTATTGATTTAAATTTTGAAATTTTCATCTGCTGAGTGTGGGTTTGTTTTTAAACAGAGGTAAATTGTAAAGTTCATAGAGCTTAACACTGCACCAATGAATCATTACATGTCTAAAATATTTGTTGAATGTCCACTGAGATCAAGTACTTCAGAAGGTTCCTTATGCTTCTTTCCCTTCAAAAACATATACAAGAGGTAACCAATATCCTAACTTCTATTCCCATACGTATAGTTTTGCTTCTACTTGGAGCTTCACATTAATAATATCACATTTCATGACCTTTCGTTTACTGGCTCTTGCTCAACTCTGTGTTTTTGAGTATAGGTATTATGTTATATTTTATAGAAGTAGTTCATTCTTTTTCACTTGCCGTGTAGCGTTCCATTTAACAGATATACCATAGCTTATTCCTCCTGTCAACTGCTGATGTACTCTGGGGTTGTTTTAATTTGGATATACTATGGCTGAAGCTGCTGTACGTATGTTTATACTGAAGAATGAGACTTTTAAATCAATGACTACTTGTATGGTTGTCTTTGGTTGCTGTGATCAAAGAATTTTCCAAATTATCTCTATCATTTTACTGCTGACCAGCAATACATGTGAGTTGCGATTGTTCTGTTTCTTTTGAACACCTTTTTGTCAATACTTTTTTTTAGAAAGAAATGTTCTTTAATATCATCTTTAATATATTAACTTACTGTAACATAATAGAGTTGTATCTTATAGTTTGTGCTTTGAACTAGATCATCTGTCCATGGCTTCTTTACAGACTTTCGCATGAATATTTTGTTATTTAATTTTGAGGTTCATTATTTATATTGTGTTTACTACTTGTGATCCTGTAGTTGTGCCTTATTTTGTGAAAGAGGTTAGCTCAGTAACTACTCTAATTTCTAATCTCAGTGATTAGAAAGTTATTGATTATAAATATAATTGATAAATTACAAGACAACACTTAGATCTTTATAAAGGATAATAGAAGGATCCTTACTGAATTGTCACTTCTTTTTTGATATGTTAAAGATGATATTAAAAAACTTTCAAAGTTCACCATTCTATTACATGCCTACAGGTAAATAATCATGGGGTTTGGAGGGGGAATTGTTTTAAAAATTAACATTTTTATTTAACTTTTCTTTATCCTTTAGAATTTTGTACTGGTACACAATGACTTATGGCCATATCTATTACAATTTACCCCCTCAGCCCTCTTCATACTCCCTCAACATGTCCTCTTCTTAACTTCATGTCATTTTTTGAGATAGGGTCTCCCTGTTGCCCCAGCTGTCCTGAAACTCACTATGTAGACCAGGATGGCCCCAAGCTCACAGAAATTCACCTGCTTCTGCTTCCTGAGTGCTGGCATTAAAGTTGTGCATCACCACACCCAGCTCATATCATTTTTTCAAAGATAATTACGGTTTTAATCAGCATTTTAGTCGTTTGGATGAAGGTTAAGGTCGCCGGTGGGTAGTCTTTTCTGTGAGGTGCTCATTCAATTCTTTTGTCCACTTTCAATTGTATTGTTTGTCTTCCTTTTTGATTTGTAGCACACACACATACACATACACACACGTGCACGTGCAAATATCTTCTCCCATTCTCTGGTTTCCTTTTCACTATTTTAATTGTGTCTTTGATAAAAAGAAGTTATTATTTCCAATGAAGTCCAATTTACTAACTTTTCCTTCCATGGTCCCTGTCCTTGTACCTGGATAAAGAGATTTCTCTCCTATCCCAAACCTCTTTGCTTTAAAAAAATCCAATTAAAATCTTTTGTTAGAAGTAACCGTTATTTTTTTTTTTATTTTTAACTTGCCTAATTCATAACCTAAGGAATCCTACCTCTTACAATTGTGATTATATTTATAAAATTAACAAGGTTTCAATGATAGCACATCCAACAAACCAAATTAAATTTATTAAAAGCAAAGTTGTATGAACTCACTGAAAAGCTATGTATGTCACCATTGCAATTCCCAGGAAAATGGAGGAGATCCCACATCCAGTGTATGTTATGATCACCAATATCCGTTCATTCACTGCATCCACTGTAGACCTGGACAAATCCTAAGGATGCAATATGCTGTATTTTAGACATTTACATGAAGAAGTTTATAACCAAATGCTTCCAGTACTCATGAACAGGTGGTTTGCAGGATATATAACATCTCTGTTATATAGGTTTTCCACAAACAGATGATGTGCATGGACATGTGATAAGACTACATACTGTTGGTTGACCAAGCTTAGTACACCTTACTGTGTACAGAGCATGGAAAGCCGTCAACAACACTGGAAGAACATTTAGTCCTTGGTTTCATTGTCATTAACATACTCTGTACTTGAAAGTACAACCAAGCTAATAGATTTGAATTTGGGATGCAAAGTGAATCATTATCTGAAGTGAGCATCCCAAATGCTACACAGAACATCAGAAACAAATGTTCCTTTTCTCTAGACCTTAAATAACTTTTATAAAATTAAGAGATAAAGTGGTCCTTTGTTTATGGTAGGAGTTCAATCATATCTTAATCTGGGGACCACAAAAGATCTGAAATGGCATGCAAAATTATTTGACTATATAAATGTACTGGTTTTGGAAGACTGTCAATAGCTTTCATTAGATGGTTAAGGTTTTATGACTCATGAAAAAGGAAATTTTTTTAAAAAGTTATGAAATACTAGTCTGCTCTGGCAGTTCTCACCTAGAAGGAATTTATGTCCTCCACTGAGACATTTTGCAATGCCTGTAGACAATTTTGGTTGTCACAACGGGAGCAGGTGGTATTGGCATTGATTGCATAGAGGAGTGGGATGCTGCCACTATCTTATAATATTTAGAACTGCCTCCTATACCAGAGTATTAACTGTCTAGAATATCAACAGTGTCAAGGTAGAGAAACTCTGATTCTGTACCTCCAGTCATTCATACCCCAGAAGAAAGATCTAAGTTCCAAACAAGCACAGCAACTCAGAATACTACAAAGTAGAGCGAACTGGAGTAGGAGCATGAGTCTTTTGACTCCTACAGCTTTACTGTATTAGACATTGTCTAATCTAAACAAAATTCTCACAATTTGACAATTATTGACCAAGTGCCTCTTATATGTTAAATAGAATTTTTTTAAAAAAAAATAAAGGAGTACAAAAGATGCTCAAGTCAGGTGTGGATGTGCCTGCCTATACACTAAGCACTTGGGAGCTGTGCCAGGAAGTTCATGAGTTCCAGGCCAGCCTGAGTTACACAGTAATATATTGTAAATAACAGGGAGCTTTTTCAGTATTACTTAAAATTTGAGGAGCAGGACTTAATTTTATAAAGAGAAATTAAACACCCGTTTCAATTTCTTCTCCTTTAGGTCAACAAGGTGGGAGGTCACACTTTATTACTGTTTGCATACTACTGTCCCATAGCTGAGTTTACATATATACTGGTAGGTAGAGTCTAATAAAAGTTGTCAAAATTTCATTGAAGAGTGATAGAGACAACTCACCATCAAAACTCCGAAGTGGGTGAGGTGGTTACACTGACAGATTGTGTAATTTACATTTGTTTCCTTTACTTTACAGCCTGATGAATTCCATCCACCTAGCCCATCTGCAGGGGACAGAAGGGAATTTCAAAGCAATTTTGCTTTTCTCAGAAATGTTTAACTTTTCATTATATGCACCATCCAAACGTGTGTTATAATTAGCATTTTTTGTTAAGACAGCAACATAGAGATACAATTGAACAGCAGAATTAAATTAAATCTAATAAGCCAAATTGATGTGTGTGTGCGGAGGGGGTGACTTTGGAAATGCTCTAACTTCATTGTCACTCACTTTTCCTGTTCTTGCTCATACCTCTATAGACTAGAGCACATTATAATCATGAGCAACTGTCCTGCCACCATGCAGGAGTAAAAGGTCATATAAGTAAGCAATAAAAGAAACAAAGTTCTGAACATTTTGGAAGGACATAAGCCTGTAGAATGTAGGCTTCCACTTGTACCTACTTGTGACTGGCATCTACATTTGAAACAGCCAGTTCAACCCAGCAATCCAATGGTCACAAGTGATTCATGACCAAACTGGGTCACAGTTTGAAGATCCTTAGGGTCCATTGTCCATTAGAGTCTCTGGTTTATTTGGCAACTGTCTAGTAGATCCTGGGTTCTAAAGCTTAAAGGTACTACACCAAAAGGGTTATCTTGGAACAAGTAGGCAAATGGGTGCTGAAATTGTCTCCTGGGATAATTCCATAAATTCCAGACGTTCTAGACACACAGGGCTAAAGAGGCAGAGGCAAAGGATCTCCTGGGATTTTCCAAGCAACTGCAGAATGGACATAGGGATAAACTTACTGAAGTTCATCACATTACAAGACTGTTTTCCTAACACTTGGTGGGGACCAGGAAAGGACATGTTATTTCTGTTTGCATACTACCTGTACAAAACAGGTAGTGTCCTGTACCCTGGGGAGCTAAGTGGAGAGACTGTCTCTTTTTTCCCATTAGTCCAAGGACACTGAAAAAAGAAAGGTTCTGTGTCAGAGCTCCCCGGGTGAAAGGACTCTTTTCATAGTCAGTCATGGAATTCTAAGAGAGGCTGATTATGTAAGGAGAGTCTCTGAGATTTGGTGCTATCTCCAGAGATTCCAGTAGAGATGGCAAAGCTAAGAGAAACCCAGTCGGCTGTAATCATAGCCAACATCTTCATATACTGTCACCAAAGACTCATGCTAATCAAATCAGGAAGGGCTTCTAGGGACTGAGAAAGAAGTTTCATCTCATTGAGACGATTAAAGGAGTGGAGCCCTGAGAGGTCATAGGGACTACCTAAGTTTTCACAATCAGTATAAAAGTGGTAAGGAGAAAAATAAGAAGTCAATAGTGCCAGTCCCCATAGGAAAACCCACCTGAACAAGCCAGATGATCACTTCTCAGTCTTCTTCAAATATCTCACAGCTATTCTACCCTGGGCCTTCCAATTGCATTTTTCCAATCTTGCTTACCCTTAAGTTATTTTTATACATTCTCTATAATAAATGTCTTAGCAAATTGATTTTCCTTAATTTTCATTCCCCCAAAATCATATTCGGTATCTTGGTCACACAGAGTGCTCTGTAAGGCCTGATAAGACACCAACTTTAGAACAACCCCTCTTTCAAGTGGCAAATAGGAAAATGATTGGGGGCAGAGTCAAAATTTGCTTCTATAAATACTTACTGTTAGTGTCAAAATCCCAAAAGGCACAATAAACTTGATCATAATTCTACAAAAGTAGAAATTAGAGGTAAACGTCTTTCCTTGTTGTAGTAAATACACAAAAGCAAGTACACGTAAGTGCTTCCGTTTTTTAGCCAATGGAAACACAAGCGCTCTCTCTCTCTCTCACACACACACACACACACGCACACTTGGACCATTTATGAGCTGGTTTTAAGACAAACTCCACCTAACTCTGGACGTAACAAGTGAGAAAACAGCATGTCACTATATGGCAATCTGGGACGTGTCATTTAATACATTTGGTAGCATTGGAATTTGCCATGCTTTCCTGGTGCAAGGCCCAGGAGGAGAGTGATTCATGACCAAACTGGGTCACAGTTTGAAGATCCTTAGGGTCCATTGTCCATTAGAGTCTCTGGTTTATTTGGCAACTGTCTAGTAGATCCTGGGTTCTAAAGCTTAAAGGTACTACACCAAAAGGGTTATCTTGGAACAAGTAGGCAAATGGGTGCTGAAATTGTCTCCTGGGATAATTCCATAAATTCCAGACGTTCTAGACACACAGGGCTAAAGAGGCAGAGGCAAAGGATCTCCTGGGATTTTCCAAGCAACTGCAGAATGGACATAGGGATAAACTTACTGAAGTTCATCACGTTACAAGACTGTTTTCCTAACACTTGGTGGGGACCAGGAAAGGACATGTTATTTCTGTTTGCATACTACCTGTACAAAACAGGTAGTGTCCTGTACCCTGGGGAGCTAAGTGGAGAGACTGTCTCTTTTTTCCCATTAGTCCAAGGACACTGAAAAAAGAAAGGTTCTGTGTCAGAGCTCCCCGGGTGAAAGGACTCTTTTCATAGTCAGTCATGGAATTCTAAGAGAGGCTGATTATGTAAGGAGAGTCTCTGAGATTTGGTGCTATCTCCAGAGATTCCAGTAGAGATGGCAAAGCTAAGAGAAACCCAGTCGGCTGTAATCATAGCCAACATCTTCATATACTGTCACCAAAGACTCATGCTAATCAAATCAGGAAGGGCTTCTAGGGACTGAGAAAGAAGTTTCATCTCATTGAGACGATTAAAGGAGTGGAGCCCTGAGAGGTCATAGGGACTACCTAAGTTTTCACAATCAGTATAAAAGTGGTAAGGAGAAAAATAAGAAGTCAATAGTGCCAGTCCCCATAGGAAAACCCACCTGAACAAGCCAGATGATCACTTCTCAGTCTTCTTCAAATATCTCACAGCTATTCTACCCTGGGCCTTCCAATTGCATTTTTCCAATCTTGCTTACCCTTAAGTTATTTTTATACATTCTCTATAATAAATGTCTTAGCAAATTGATTTTCCTTAATTTTCATTCCCCCAAAATCATATTCGGTATCTTGGTCACACAGAGTGCTCTGTAAGGCCTGATAAGACAGCAACTTTAGAACAACCCCTCTTTCAAGTGGCAAATAGGAAAATGATTGGGGGCAGAGTCAAAATTTGCTTCTATAAATACTTACTGTTAGTGTCAAAATCCCAAAAGGCACAATAAACTTGATCATAATTCTACAAAAGTAGAAATTAGAGGTAAACATCTTTCCTTGTTGTAGTAAATACACAAAAGCAAGTACACGTAAGTGCTTCCGTTTTTTAGCCAATGGAAACACAAGCGCTCTCTCTCTCTCTCACACACACACACACACACGCACACTTGGACCATTTATGAGCTGGTTTTAAGACAAACTCCACCTAACTCTGGACGTAACAAGTGAGAAAACAGCATGTCACTATATGGCAATCTGGGACGTGTCATTTAATACATTTGGTAGCATTGGAATTTGCCATGCTTTCCTGGTGCAAGGCCCAGGAGGAGGCCGTGGAGAGTCGGTACAATGCTGATGGATAGTAGGTGTTCTTCAGGAGGCTTTGGAATTTAGGGCTCACAGCTGCAATCATCCTTTATGGACATAAGGTTGAACTGCCTCCTCATTAAGCCTATTGAACATTACTAAAACCTCCCTAGTGCCTACAGAAAACTGGAGGCAAGTAAGAATTCCTGGGGGTGATCTGAGACCTGCAGATACAGCCCAAATTGAGAGATCTTATCCATCGAACATGTTTTATTTTTAATCCGGCTTTTAATTCCTTCTCCGAGTATCCCTTCTCTTTCCTTCTAGCTAGGCATCAAGACTGGTAGAAAATATGTTGTACCATATGGTCCTTTAGATTGGGAATGAAGGAAGCTATTAAAACTTCACACTGGACACATATTAGCATCAAAGAATGAAATAGTAACTCATTCTTACATTAAGCCTGAATTTGATCATTTAGTAATATGTGCCTTATGTTATGCCATATGATTATGGTTTTAGTCCTTTGGTGATAATTAATACACATTTTAATGTTCTTCATGGAAAAATAAAAGAATACAAATGTTCAGTTATTTTCAATGAAATTATGTATCTCACTCAAAAATAAATGGAATTAAATGGCATTTAGTATTACAAAACAGCCAAGAGATCTACTTATTCTTAGTCACTGTCTTGTTAGAATGTCCATTATTCAGTACCCATTTAGGATAAAGCATTATTTATAGATGTTCAAGTTAAAACATATTTCTGCTACTTAGAATAAAGACTCATCATGAAGTCTTTGAATTAAATGCTAATCAGCCATTTTTTGCAGGGAAATCAAGTAGGGAAGGTTCTGAGGCTATTTGGTCCTCAGATGAAAATGGATGTTACCCAGTTTCCTTGAATGTGCTTCAGAATGATCACCACTGGATCAGCCAAGTTTTGAATGGACGTATTTGAAATGCTGGCACTCACAACATATGTAGTTAATGCTGTAGTGGTGTTTTGGGCCTGAAGATGAAACATAAAGAAGAGGCATTCACGTGCTAAATTTCTAATTTCTTATATAAATATTATTACTCTAGAATTGGTACAGATCTATGGAAAATAAATTCATAAGCCAAGGATGAATTTTAAGAATCATTGGACTTATCTCTTCTCTTCACATAGGGCTCAATGATGCCAAGCTAGAACAATTCATTAATCCATCCAAGCACATATCTATCTAACCAACATTGGTTTTGTATCTGCTACTCAGTAGCAACAGCATAAAGGTGTTCTCTGCTTTGACAATGCTCCAGACTTTGACATTTCACAACTTAACCTTGGTACTAAACTTCAAACATCTGTATAAGGACACCTTTCACATCCTTTTAAGGAAACCATTCTTTGTAAGGAATCTGAAATCATCAAGAGTTAGTTACAAGCTCTTTCCTAGACTAACCCCATTAGTAAAGGAAGCAGGTTGATCAATACCCATCTCGGAACAAGTGTTTGGAGATTGTCATCTCTTCCTTAGAAGAGTACACACTCTGAGAACATAACCTAGGCATTGCATCCAGGTAGTTGGCTAAGTGCTTTCCACATGCACAGTCTTTAGCAATACTGGCATCATATAGCCATTTTTCAGAAGAACTGAGGCTAGACAGGTTCAGCACCTGTATGTACAAAGATCACACAGCCAATAGGTAACAGGACAGGAATGTTTAACAAATGTTAGTTTAAAGACAACAAACTAAAATTTACCTATTTAGATATGGGACTTGATAATTAACAGGGTCAAAGTTTCAAAGGACAGCCAGTTATGTGACTGTCTCCTCTGGCGCACATAAGAAACTATAGATAGGGCTGGAGTGTGATTAAAAAGGATATTAGGGAAATTCTCAAGGACTTGCTAAGAAAGTCTGAAGGAAATGAGTTTAGATGACATCCCTTGAAGAAGCCACTGGACATTGCTAGACGATGTCACTGAGGGAAAAGTGTGCAGTTCCCACTCCCTAGCCAACTTGTGGCCCTTGATAACTGTGAATGTAATCTTGGTCCACTTGTAAACCTCTTACTTCCTATTCTTGACAGGCTGTGTTTATCCTAAACAATCCTATGATGGTTAATACTGATTGTCGACTTGATAGTATCTAAACTCACATGGGGGCAAATCTCTGGGCATGACTGTGAGGGATCAACTAGATAAGATTAGCCTTTGGGCACACCTGTGAGAGATTTTGTAGATTAGTCGATTGACGTAGGAAGACCCATTCTAAATCTTGAAATGAATAAAAAAAGGAGAAAGCTAGTTAATTACCAGCAATCATCATTCTCTGCTTCCTCATTGCAGACACAGTGTGACCAGTGGCCTCAACCTCCTGCCACCAGGATTTCCCTGCCGTGGTGGACTATACCCTTAAACTGTGAGCCAAAATAAACCCTTTCTTCCTTAAGCTGTATTTGTCAGGGTATTTTCTCACAGCAATGAGACAAATAAGTAATACAAACTCTGGTGGTTTAATGCTCCTCTGAAGGTTTAGTGCTCCCTTCTCAGCAGAGATCCCAGGGCAGTCTGCTAGAGAGGCGCATCGAAAACAAACCATGGTAGGAAGGGCCCTAGATGACACTTTAAAGACCAAGTGCTAGCCCAATTCCTTTGGTTCATCCAAAAACCCTCTCCTTTCTGGGCCACTAGTAACATGAGGAAAGATAGACCAGATGATCTCTATCTTCCCAATTTGAACTGTTAGCTTTCTGTAGTGGAAAGGTCATAGGAAGAAATATCCAAAATGGCCTAACTGAAGCTCTTTTAAAAAAATATTTTATTGCTTTTTTGTGCATTTCATATAATAGTTCTTAATCAAATTTAGACCCCCCCTCCCCCATCCACACCCCCCATAGCCACCCCACTGGATTGCCTGCATTTTGTCATATATATTAAGTCCTATCTGGTCAAGCATTTGCACCCAGATATCCTTCAGTGTAAGTTCATCCACAGGAGTCTAGTCAGCCTATCTAGAGATCTTAAAGATCTTCTCCCCTTACCCAGCAATAATCAGTTGCCAATAGCTCTAATTTAATCTCTTCCCTAGATTCATGTCTCTTACCAAGAAAATGGTGTATATGCTAGGAAGGAAAAAAAAATACATTTCTCATCGCTCTATTCTTTGTGTATTAGACTCAAGTTTTGCCTGTTCTTCTGAACCTTTACACAGCTGTTTCCTCTGCCTCCAGTTCTCCTCCCTCCTCACCTGCTTTTATTTTCTAGCTCTTTCTCAGCTTCATGTGTCCAGCTGAAAGCTCCCTTAAACCAGGCCTTTTCTGCTCTCCTGGATGGGGGAGAGCCCCTCTCAGAGTCCCTATGCAACAGTGTACTTACTTAGTGCCTGTCTCCTGCCTGAGAACTGCAGCTAGTGAAGGAGAAGAGGAGGAGGAGGCACAAGATGTTCAAGAGTGGCATATTATCAACAATTTCTAAGGTAATATGTTGTAATGACAGTCAAGATTTTGATCAAAAGATGTTAGAGGATGCTGTGTGAAAGCAAAGTTATGAGACTTGAGGACTGAAGGGAAAGGTAGTTAAAGGGTGGCATGTCTTCAACATGCCCTCCTCTGCCATCAGTGACACAAGTCCCAGCCTTGTGCCCCTCTTTCAGTGTTAGAACATTCTAGTTTCTGCTCTCCCCAACCACTCTGTATTTTCCATGAGGGAAGGTCCCAGGTCTCTCTTGATCTGCATTGTATACCTGGCATCCAGAACCTTGGAAGATACACAGTAGGACTGTAAAAGCTACTTGCTGAATAAGAATAAATGACTGATTGAGCAAAAGAATAAACTATGTCACCTTCAACAAGTGCTTTCCCATCTGTAAGCCTCAGTTTTCTCAGTGGCACAATGAAGATAAGGGACACTATGAGATAGGAGGGCCCTTCCCACTCTGAATTTGATGCCAAGCTAGTTCAAATCCTTCTTCATCTGGTGCTATGACATCTGTAAGCTAATTTTGGCAAAGATCTTTAACCCATTTCAATGGAAGGTGCTAGTGAATAAAAATTACTTATTAAGTATGAAATCTATGCAAAGCAAGTTTATCTCTTATTCTAAGAGACAAGCACAGCCCTCTAAAGGAAAGAGGGAAATTAAGACTAAAATAATGGCATTTCTGATGATACCAAGCAGTGACAAGAATATCAAAAGGTTCAGACAACTATAGAACACATTTTAAATCATTATTACAAAATTTGCCCACTAATTTCTTCCAGGGCACAGGAGAGAATAGATTTATTAATTCTGGGGATGCATCCTGGGTATGATTTGAACTAAGCCTACAGGAACAGATAGAATTTAGATAGAAGAGTGTCCACACAATTCTAGGGGAGCAGAATGCCTTGCAGATACAGTTAGTGGTGATGTGGTCCACTGGAGTTGGTAAGTATTACAGGTATCTGGTATATTTTTGAATTGGCGAAGTAAAATCCCCCAAATAAACCTGTGAATGTTTGACCACCAGAATGTCATTTCCTTCAATAATTCCTTAGAAATGCAAACACACCTGGGAAAACTAATGTATTAACTTGAAATATAGAAGTTGGGGTTGTGGGTATGGCTCAATGTTTAAATACTTGCCACACAAGCATGAGGACCAGAGTTTGGATCCCCAGAACTCATATAAAATGCCAAGTGTGATTGGTGGCCAGTCTATAATTCCAGTCTTGGAAAGCAGAGATGAGATTCCTCACAACAGCCCTATTGGTGAGCTCTGGGTTTGGCTGAGAGATCCTGCCTCAATGAACAATGTGGAAGAGGAATTAAGGATGATTCTCAACATCAACCATGGGTCTCTACATGCACACACACACACACACGCACACACACACACACACACACACACACACACCCACACACACACACACACACACACACACACATACACACACACACACGAAAATGGGGAAAGAAAAACCAAACAATATAGGAATTTGGAGTTAGACAACCCAAATTTGATTCATAACTACAACTTTTTAGCTATATGATCTTGGTCAAAACTGCTTAAACTTTGAGCTTCAGTTTCCCAGGAGAAGCAGATGAGATAGTAATTAAAAAAAGCAACAATTAATAGTGTTCATCAACTTCATGCAAATCCTGGTTGCTGTCACTCTGCCAGCTAGATGAGATGAGTTGTCTTAGGCAGAACCAAAACAGTAATAATAACAGCAATGCAAACATTTGCCCAGTGCTTAGTATGTGCCAGACAATACTGCAAGCATTTTATGTGTGTTAACTCCTTTAGTCCTTAAATGAGTCTACAAGGTACAGTTCTTGGGCTATTTCGCGTTGGTTCTATGTGCTATCATATACTTTCTACACACACACACACACACACACACACACACACACACACACACTAAGGCACATGGAGGCTGAATAGCTTGCCAAAAATCACTCAGGTAGAAGACAGCCACTTCAGCTTCACATTCCAGCAACTAGGCCCTGAAACCACACCCCAGCACATTACATTGACTCCAGCTTAGAGCAAGTGAAGCTTGGAGCACTCAGATCTAGGAGCCAGGAGAGACTGGGGGTGAGGGACGGGAAGGACTAGCAAGCTGAAAAGCTATCTCTTCAAGAGAACATGCTGTTCTTTTCTGGCTTTTTGGTCACCAGATAATCTTTAAGGTCCCTTCCAAAGCAGAGAAGCTGTGAACATTCAGAAGTGTAAAACATCATTAAAGTAGACATTGATTCATGTTGCGGGCCAGGGGTTGTGCTAAAAGGCTTGTGGAATCAATCAGAGAGCATATTCTAAAATAAACAGAACACCATGAAAATAGCAGGAGTTCATAATTACAATGAGTCACCATATGTCAGTTCATGACAGTTTCTAGAGGCAAGAACTTACCTTAAAGAGTGAGGTTTGACCAAAAAAATTAAACAAGATGGTTTGTAAGCCGTTAAGAGGAATTTTTTCACTTAATGATGTAGGCAAATATATGGAAGCCAAAACTCTCCCTACAGGGATATCACCGAGGAAAATCTACAAAGAGAAGTCAGAAAATGAAAACTGGGGTCTTCACCCATCATAATGACATCCTTTCTCTTTCTAACCTTTCAATACCCAAAGTATTCACAGAAGGCTGAGGCTGATAGATGGGGCCTGGTTCTATGTGCTATCATATACTTTCTACACACACACACACATACTCACACTCAGGCAAACATGTATACACACACACACACACTATTTTTTCATTCTAAACCTGTCTCTAATAGGTGATTTGCCCCAATTTGTAGAAATAAAGGTGGAGTTGTAGACATCAGATTACCTTCCCCATAGAGTTCTGAAATTGAAAACAACAAGGCAGATAATAGTATTACACACCCACCTCACAGTTACTTGAACAATACTTTTGTTAAAAATGAAGCAGGAGAATGGGGGTAGAGAGATGGCTCCACAATTAAGAGAACTTACTGCTTCCCCCAGAGGACCAGGGTTCAGTTCACAGCACCCACATGGCAGCTAACAAACATCTGTCACCACTGGAATCTGATACTTCTGGCCTCCACGGGCACTGCATGTGGGTAGTGCATTTATATATATGCAGGCAAAATATTCATACATCATGTAGGAAACCAGGATCCATGCCCTAGGGTAAGATGAGCTTAAAACTTTTAAGTCCAGGCTGCATTCTCTGCTAAAGGGAGGGTCACTGTAAACAGTAGCTCTGATAATCCCTGTCTTGCAGAACACTGCTGGGAGGCAGAGGCAGGCGGATCTCTGTGAGTTCAAGGACAGCCTGGTCTACATAGTGCGCTCCAGGCCAGCTGGGGCTACAAGGAGACCCTGCTTCAAAAAGACCAAAAAATTAAAAAAAAGTTTCCTCCTGAGCTAAAAGTCAACCATGCTTTTAGCCCTAAGAAAGAAAATATTGTGGCCAATAAATTACCGGACAGAGGCATTGGTGACCTTGAATAAAAGTTTAAGAATCCTTCTGGTGCCAACTAACAGACTAAATGCCCTGCTTCTTTGTACCCTAAATCTTTGTATGTGACTGCTGTATCCCACGTGACTGCTAGTTCCTTGGGATGTATAAAAACCATCTGAATTAAATAATAAATGGCTTCTTGAAAAGACACAGGTTCCAGGGTCCAAGAATCTGTTGTGGATCAAGTCTCTCTGGCCCAAAGCCAGTAGGTCCCCTGCTAAGCAAAGCAAGCCCAAGTCCTGACAACTGGCCCCCGAACAGGGACCCTCTTGGACCTGTGCTTCGCTGAGGACAGAGCAATCCTTCCCCCCTTCAGCTGATCGGATCCCCTTGTCACGCTGGTTCATAGGTAAGGGGCAATTGTAAATATGGGTAATTCTCTTTCTCCAGACCAGTCTCACTTCCAATCTATTCTTAAATGCATGCTAAAGTCTAGAGGAATTAAATGTACAGAAACACAGATTAAGGCCTTTTTAGTTATTACTATAGAATGTAATCCTTGGTTTCCTGCTACGGGAACTATTGATTTGGAATCTTGGAAAAGAGTAGGAGACAATGTACAGAATTATCAAAAGCTGGGAAAGACTGTTCCTGTCTTCTATTTCCCTCTCTGGTCTGCTCTTTGCCAGTGTCTCCAAATAGAAAAGGAACCCCCTCCCTCTGTGGCCAAGCCACCTACACCTGGGCTCCCTCCCCCTTCCAGTCCTCCCTCCACAACAACCCAACAGCCAGAACCTTCTCAGGCTGAGCAGCTGCCAGCACACCCTCCTTCTGTGGCACAGCCTCTGGGAATGCAAACACCCACCTCTAATTCTATTAGAAAGGGGGAGTCACCCCCCACTTTGGGATCTCTCCCTACCTCTCCTTCTTCTCCCTCAGCATTCCCCATAGCATATGTTTCTTATACCTCACCCTCTGCTTCTGACCCTGAATCTCTCCTTCCCATGTTTTAACATCTGCTAGCAGGAGATACTTTCTCTAGAGAATCTTCGGCTCCCTTGCCACATCCTTCTCCTCAGTTCTTTCCAGTTCACATTCCAGCTGACTCTGCGGCAGCTGACAACCCTGAACTTAGAATGCATAGTCCTCTTGGCTTTGAAACACTGAAAGCAAGTCACAAGATGGTGATGGAAAATGATATGCAAGGTCTTTTACCATAGCCATCTTTGATCAGCTTAGCTGTAAATTAGTCACTGCTTGGGACTTTAAACACCTCGCCCAGGCTGCTCTGTCCCCAGGACAATGGCTCCTTTTTAAGTCTAAATACTATGATGAGTGCACTGAACAGGCAGCAAGAAATGCTCAAGCTAATGTTGATGTGACAACTGACATGCTTAAGGGCGAAGGTCAATATGCTGATGCTGAGGCTTAGTATATTGATCAGGTGTGCCTCTGTGCCTTGAGAGCCTGGAGATCCACACCAGATGGTGAGACAGAAAGCTATCTTAGCTGATCTCAAACAAAAGCCACAGGAGCAATGGGCTGATTTCTTAACTAGGGTCCGGGAAACCATAGAGGCTAAGGTTCCTCACATAGAAGCCGCCCAGATTTTAATAAAATGACTTGCTTATGATGGCTTGAATCAAGAATATAAAGCAGCAATTGCTCCAGTAAAAAGTCAAGATTTGTCTTCCTGAGTGACGGCTACTCAGGACATAGGCACGGTTTCAGCACAGGTTAGCATGATGGCAACTGCATTAGCAGAAGCTTTCGCTGCTCAAATGAAAGATCCATGCTTTAAATGTGGAAAAACGGATCACTTTGTGAGACAATGCCCTGTCATAGATTACAAGCCTATACCTGATCCTCCACCATCAGGCTCGAGACCTAAACCAAATAAAAAATAACCTAAATGTCAAAAAGATTTCCATTAGGCTAGAGATTGCCATTCTAACTTCAACAAAAATAACAAAACTTTAAACAAGAGATGGGGCAGCCCTCAGCCCCGCAACCAAGAGGATCAACAGCCTCAGTGGAAGTAAACCCCCTCCCCCGGGCATTATGGACGCTCCCTGAAACATCTGACCTTAAGCCTACAATGTCCCTAATTGTACAGGGAATTGCTATAAGGGGTCTGTTAGATACAGGGGCTGATCAACCAGTTATTAGACATGAGGACTGGCCATCACATTGGCCCACAAAAAAGGGCCCTTTCTCCTGGGGGTAGGAGGAATTATTTCCTCACTCCAGTCTTACCATCCCCTAACATGGCCTATTTCTAGTAATAAATTACCTCATTTACAGGGTCTTATACAAGGACAATTAGATAAAGGGCACTTAGAACCCTCTAAGTGGAACACGCCTATATTTGTAATACAAAAGAAAACTCATGGAAAATGGAGACTTTTACAAGACTTAAGAAAAGTTAATGCCACTATGAAAAAGATGGGATCACTACAGGCTGGCCTTCCCTCGCCTGCAGCTGTGCCTGCAGGACATGCTATTATAATAATTGATATAAAAGATTGTTTCTTTTCTATTCCTTTACATCCCGAGGATAGGGAGAATTTTGCCTTCACTATTCCTGTCAACAATCACTTTGTACCCACACAGAGGTATCAATGGAAAGTCCTACCACAGGGAATGAAAAATGGCCCTACTACATGCTAATTTACATACATAAAATAATTAGTCCAATGCTTAAGGAATTTCCTACTGTTCTTTTTGTTCATTATATGGATGATATTCTCCTTAGTCACCCTTCTATTCAACTTTTAGAAGTTATGCTTACTAAATTAATGACTTTTAACAAAATATGGACTTTATATTTCCTCAAAAAGATTGAAGAACGTATGCCTTATATTTATTTGGGATATGTTATCTTAATCAACTGTACCCTACCACCCCAAAAATAGAGCTGCCACAGGGGCCTCAACCTCAAAGCCACCTGGACCCCCTATAGCTTTTGTTCTACTCTTTAAAAAAACTGCTCTGCCTTTGCTAACTAACACACAGTTGCAAGCTGTAAAAGCACAGGCAAGCCAGTCTAACCCTCCTTCAAAAAGCCAAAAAACAGGTTTGTCCAAAAACAGAGGCTCTGTTTACCTATCTCTTCTCTACTATGACTCTTTTATGAGCTCTATGGCCATCTGGAGATTTTTCCTCTCTAATTCCAGCTAGAGAAATGGCTTAATGGTTAAGAGCATAGTTTGCTCTTCCAAAGGACCTAGGTTTAATTCCTAACACCAGAAATTCACTAGGTTTTTGTGTCCCTTCCAATTCTATTCCTCTCTGTTAGCTTTATTTCATTCAGCTGTTTGTTGCATATATCTATATCTATACCTATATCTATATCTATAGAGATATATGTAGATATAAAATTGTTTTATGTTTTTCCACTCACTACAAATTCATTTCCAGGTTTTCCATTTTCTGAGAAACTGACCTTCAAGTTTTAGCTTATTAAGTTCACCTAAAACCCTACAATTTAATGTAAACACTGGTTATATTAATTAATTGTCTTATCTTTTATGTCTAATTCAGATTCCATGTTCTTTTAGTAAAATAATACTACATGGAGCCTGCACTACTATCCTCAGGCCTCTTGGGGTAAGTCTATAGCTCAGCCCTCCGCGCCGGGACTCCCTAAGCCACATTCACCCTTCCATCCCCCCCGCCGTTCTATAGTCCTAGTTAGGGCCCTGCGCCATTCCTAGGCTTGGGGCCCCAGACACCCGGGGAACCAATACTGCTTCCTGACCCTTCTCACCCAGACCAACTCAGTGCCTTTCTTGGGCCCCAGGAGCACCGCTTCTGGTCCTGGCCCCCCCCCCTCCCCCCCAACTTCCCCTGTTCCTGCAACACCCCCCAGCCTCTTTCTGGGGCTCCAAGGCTTACCTTTCCTCTCCCTGATCCTTTGCATCCAGTACAACCCAGCTCCTCAATCTCCTCCCTGGGAAATCTTGGGGCTTTTTCCCTCCCCATCTGCCTTTGCATCCCTGCGTGGCGCTTCCACGGCCAGGGTCTCAGGTCAGTGTCACCCAAGTTCCTGAGGCCAAAAGCATTCTTAGAAGATTCCAGACCTAAGGAGAAAGTCTGAAAACTTCTGATC